CCTTTCTCCTGTTTTCTCAGCCCAGAAATTCTTTTTTTTTTTTTTTTTTCCTTTCTCCTGTTTTCTCAGCCCAGAAATTCGTAACGAACCTGTCAGGCCGCTGCCACACAGTGTCACACTGGATCGGCCACACCCTTTTTTTTTTTTTTTCCCCCTATCCGACTGCTAATGGGACCGTGCTCCCGAGCAACTCTTGGCTCAGGGTCACATCGAAATTCTTTACCAATTTAAAATAAAAAATTTTACTTTTTTGAAGTTTTTTAATCTTTTTTTGCCCCGGCCGGATACATGAGTAGGCCATAGCAGTATTGCTCTCATCATGAGTCCAGCAGGATTCGAACTCATGACCTGTATTTGAAGCCAGGACAGATACATGTGTATTGTTATACGATGATGATGATACCATTCAGCCAGGTCGGCTGGGTGCAAGTAAGTGATATCGATACGATGATGATGATACCATTCAGCCATGCGATTTTTTTTTGTCCCTTTCCGTTTTCTTAAGAGGACTGGTACTCTCCTGTATGTATGTACCCGATTGCAATTGTGGGTATATTCAGTTTAGAAACTTGGAGAAGTCCTACAACTGGGGTGCCTAGTGCTGCTTACTGACTTGTCATGGCGGGCATCTCCACAGAAGGGGCTTTCCTGTATGTACCTGACCACAATTTAGGAAATAATACACAATCTATTTCACAAAAATGAGTGCAATATTCAGTTTGGAACCTTGAGAAAGTCAAGTGCGGGAGTATGCGGAGCCCCCTCCCTCCCCCTCTCCCCCCCCCCGACCCAAGGCTACGTGGTCAGCACCCGGACTTTCTCTGGCTGCTCGGGCAGTCTGGCTGGGCCAGCTCCGAGCAAGATCCGAGGCCCCAGGTCTGAACAATCCCAGCATAAAACGAAAAAAATAACAAATTTGGGAATGAGAAATGCTGTGTAGAATTGCAATAGCAGCAATGCAAATAGCTTCTGTCTGAAAATTGTTTCAGCACTCCTCATTACTATCAAATATAAAGAGTTATGATTCGACGACACCCGTCTAAAACCTTTTAAGCACTTTCGAACCTTTTTTATAAAACTCCATTTACGTCCCCTCCCCCTCCCCCTCCCCCCCCCCCCCCGGGGGGGGAAGTTGCACAGTGACCAAATTCAAAGATATGGCCTGATTTGGACTGCGCAGGGCAAGAACAGATCCTGTGCCCCCTTTCAACCCATTTCACTAAACCCCTTTAACCCCTTTAAACCCCGTTTATACCCTCTACAACCCCTAAATGTGAGGCATCTCCAGGTCAAAAGATAAAGCCGGACTTGGGCACACATCTTCATGCGTGCAGAAATACCTCACTATGAGCTCTTGGGATCCAGAAAAAGAATTAAGCTCCCTTCTTTCTGCCTGCCTGGGTGACGCAGGCAGTTTGATTGGAGGTGCTGTGTGTGCCAGGGTGCTTTGCCCCGGTAGTCTACCATAGGTAGAGCCTTGTTGTACCCAGCTGATTCATGATGATTTGAAACCGCAATCATCATGGCTACCATTCACGCAAGAATGGGTGGGTTACGCATTGTGTGTGCATGTAAGTCCCTCCTGATGCATCATAGTTGCTTCTGATCTCTTGTTTTTTTTTTGTTTGTTTGTTTGTTTTGTGTTCCTTGCTCAGCCAGTGTCTAGAAGTGGAAAAAACAGTTTTGGCGGTCTCGGTGCAACAATTGTGGATGCTTTGGATACTGCATACATTATGGGACTCACGGACATTTTCGAGAAAGCCAAACTGTACGTGTTTTTTTTTTTTTTTTGGGGGGGGGGAAGGGTTTTGAAAGGGCTTTAAGGGCA